CTGGATTGACACAGGCAGCAGCCCTGGACAACCTCCGCCATTGAACTCTATTACCATCACACCAATGTTCCAAGGATGCAGACAAGTAAGTGGAGCCACACTCCCCTTTTCCAACAATGACATGCTTTGCCCTATCCTCCAGGACTTCCCCCTCAAGTCTTCCTCGTCTTTACCCAAGACTGCTTTAATAAACTGTTCTTTAAAAACGTTGCTCACTTTGTTATTTGTGTTGCATGTGGGTCCAGGTTTCAGCTTACAACACCCTAATGTTCCCAACAATATTCAAATTTGTCTTTTTTTTTGGTCACCTTCAATGGCGTCACATCACCTTTAGCATGGGAGAACAGACCAAGACAAATTTCCCACGCCCGGGACAATAAAGTTAATCTTGAATCTGTGGACACGTCAAGAGTGGAGAAGAAGGAAGAACAAGTAGGTGAATCACAAAGCTTGCCAGTGCTGGTTTTTTTTTCTCCATTCCTTTGTGTTGTATTGCTCACCTGTAATGGATCACGATTATTTTAGTGTGATTGTTTTGCCACGAAAACCGGGGCTGGGCCACTCAATGCACAACGTCATAGGAGGTGTATAGGTAGCTGAGTCATCCAATGTAAGCCACCAATTTAATTTTAGTGATTTATTTAAAGTGAAATGACATAATCTAAATACTCCAGAACCAAACATCAGGCGAATGTTTAGGGGAAAACGTCAAGACAGTAGGTCCGTGGAGCATTTCGTTATGTTGAGGCGTATTTCTACACAAATTCAAATGCTGTCAAAAGAACTTTTGAAGCTGGCAGTTAGGGAATCTTCGCAAACGTTCCTCAAACACTCCACTGTTTGCTTGGAATATGTGGCAAAAATGTAAAGAGAACAAAACTTTAATCCAACACCGTGTCCATGACCTTGATTTCTGCCTGAGTCACATGAAATCTATTTTTTTCAGGACATGGAGGTGAAGACAACAGTTTCCATGATCCAGTGCTGCTTTACGATGTCAGGAAACTACTTCATTTCAGGGCAGAAATGACATCTTGCACAATTAGGTAGAAATGCTGCAACCCATGCATAAAGTCACTTTTTCAGTAGTAGATCAAAACCACAGTCTTTCCTTAATTGCATAAAAACAACCATGAAATGGTTAAATAATGCTTTTGTTACCTTAAACTGCTGAAATAATTATCAATCAGGCAGAAAAATGCTGTTTTGAAACTAAACAATTACATGTAAGAGGCAGGGCTTGCTTTAAATGTGCCAAATTTACAAAACTGTCCCCCTGAAATTACACTAAATAGGATATGTTTTGAAGCAGCATATTCTTGAAGAAGCACTACAATTATGACCTGCGCTGGATTTGCAGGGAGGAGGTCTGGGTGGATGGTCGGTCCCAGAGTGTAACACCAGGTCCCAGGATCTGGACTCCGGTTTGTGGTTAAGACTCGAGAAAATTGTGATTTTGTTTGAATGTTATTGTGTCTTAAGTTACCTGCTTTAAAAAAAAAAATCTACACCAACTTCTCCTACCAGTGTGTATGACATAAAAATACATCATTAACAGCATTTCCTCATTTGGTTAATAGAAAGCAAAATACAATCTGCGTTATGTGTCCTGCAAAACTGATGTGTTGTTGCAAACTAAAATAGAAAGGTCAGGGTTGTATGGTGTTACCTTTGGACGGACCGAAGCTGTTTACTTCTGTTTCCAGTCTTTATGCTCGGTAAAGTTAATTGTCTCCTGGCTTCGTATCGAATGGAGGGAGAAGAAGGGGAAAAACTCTCAGCATAGAAAAGCCAATAAGCGTATTTTCCCCAAATGTCCAAGTGTTCTTTTAAAAATTACTAGAGAGCATGACAACCTGGTATTATTTCTGGATGCGGTTTTTCCAACTTTCGGTAAAGAATAAGGCCTTAATCGTACTTTGCATGCCGCTCTGACAGGTGTCTGCGCCTTGTCCCGTGACACAGGCCTTAACTAGCCGACTGGGCGCTGCAGCGACCAGGCTCCATGTTGATGATGAAACACAAACGCAACAGAAGTAAAACTCACGCTGCTTCACCTGACAGCAAAACCAACGCTGTTTTTTTTTTTTTCCGCTCTCAAAAAAATGTACTTATCCTGGAATATCCAGAGGAAGAAAAGTTTTTCGTGTCCTGTGGGGTTGAAAGAAGAAAATCTATTTACAAAAGCATGAAAATATTTTATCACTAGCAGCAGGGGCAGGAGTGTTTTAATGACCTGATCCACAGGCCTCTGGCTGGCTGCAGGCTTTCTCAAACTGCAAAGAGCCCACTGGTCCGCCTGCCAACCCTTGGGGCAGCATTGAGATGAAACAGATAAGATAATTGTCTCTAATGAAATCCAGATCTCTAGGTCTGTCTGGACCACGACTCGCTGGGCCCTTTTCTTTTTTTTTTTTTTGAAGGGGGTGTTCCATATAGATCTTGAATTTGAAGAGAGACTGTGGAAGTCAGCCCCTAATTCAAACCAGAGCTGGCGTACCAGCCCGTGGAGCTTTGATACCGTTTGAAGTTCTGCAAGCAAACACGGCACCATCAGCACTGCCGGACTCTGTCGTCATGACAACCCTAATTATCTTCCTTTTTTTTACAGCCTGGTTTTTTACACAGGAAGGGAACCATTATGTTCTTTGGGCATTTGCATCTCTCTCTCTCTGGGGCAAGTGTTAAAGGTCAGGGAAAAGAACCAAAACAAGAACACAACCGTGCAAAGTTGTGCGTGTGTGTGTGTGAGAAAAGGTGACTCACTGCAACACGTCCAACACTTTGGCAGGCGTTTCTTTTTGTTAAACATTTCTTGGATTACTCAATGAAACATATGTTCCCGAGGACAGTTGAAAACTTTTTTTTTGTTAAAGTTACGGTAAAAAAAAAAAACGTTTTCCCGCGCGCATTGTGAAATAATCAGCCGTTTTTCCCGCTTCAGAATATTCTTTTATTAACACTTAGAGCGTATTCCTAAGAAAACACACGCCTAATCACAATACATTATTCATTCATATAATGTGATAATACACTTGTAAAGCAAGATCAACACGGGGCTGTTTTTCCTGATGGCTTTCCAGTTGTGTTCAGACGACGCCCGTGGAAAGTTAACGTGCCACATGTATTTCTTTTTGCTCTTGGATAATATTCGCTGGTACCAGACTGTTAGGTTCAAAAACAGCAGAACATGGCCCAGACCGAGCTGCTGCTGCTGCTGCTGCTTTCACACGACAGATGCTGCGGCTCTGACATCTTGTTGATATATTTTAAAAAGGGAAAAGCGACCGGCTGCCAATTAGCCGCACCGCAATCTTTCCACTGATAAACGAGAGTTTGATTCATTGCATCAGTGACTTAAGCTTTATTTCCTCTTTTATGTACTTTGGATAAATACAAAAAGAATCAAATGCAAGCCAGTGAAGTCAGGCACCAGAGATACCCTAAATCCAACGACACTGGTGTAATTAATAAAGGCCTGGGTGAAAGTTTTTTCTGCAAAAGCCGTGCACTCATTCCACAGGAATCCAACCATTCACAGTTACTGTTTCATATAACACGTCTTTAATCTGAGGAGCGCTTTATGCCATGTTGCCAGAGGATTTTCCCTAGTATGCAATCATGCGTATAAAAAAAAAAGACTGGATGTTAAAATGTCAAGCTTCAACACAAACATTCAAGCCATGTTGTAGAAATAATTTGGTTAAGGAGGAACAGAGACTGAAAGTAGAGTCAGTTATCACCCAGATCTTATCAGGCCCACCATTGTTCCTGGATGAGGAGCCTTAAGTGGTGTCACTCTGCCAGGGGTCACAGATAGCTGCGAATCAAAGGGGGAGCCAGAGGTTGACCAAACAAACGGTTCCTCCTCTGCCCTCATGTAAAACTATCTGCCAAACACCAGCGGTCCCTCTTTGAACTTGATTTAAGCACGAAGGTCGCAAACAGCCGGTCATCTGCTGCGGAGGACGAATCCAGCACCAGATGACATGGAGATAAGATGAGGTTTATGATGTCTTACGCTGAGATCATCAGCGGCTGCTTAATGGGGTCTCCTGCTGCAACTGTTGGAGTAGTTTATTCACAATACACTTCTGAAACAGATTTACAATTAGGGAAGTATTCATTGCTTGTGTTTACTCTTTTCTTCCTGTGGTTTTTGGGCTTTTTTTGGTTTTTTTTTGTTTTTTGTTGCTTTTTTGCTCTTTTTGGTTTCTTTTTTCTCTTGTTTCTCTGGTTTTTCACGTTGTTGGCCTCGGTGGAAGCAGGTCTAGCAGTTGTGGGAGTTGCGAGACTTGGTAAATGTCGTGTTTCTTTTGTTTGATTTTTTTTGTTATTTGTGTTTCGGAAATTTTGGAATCAGCGTGTTCAGCATTTTTTCCGTTTTTTCCGGTGTTTTCCTGTTTTTGGAGAAGATGTGACTCTAAATTCTGCAGATGTTTTACAAATTGCATATTCTTGTATTTGCTTCCTATTTGCTCTGTGCAAAGACAGCCTGTGCTTTCAACAAAAAAGTCTCTGAAATGTTTTTATATCACTGTTGGTTGCAGCTGAATCATTATTGGCTTCACTGTTGCGTCAATGAGCACAGATTTTGTTTATTTTTTTTACAGAATCAGTTTAGCGCAAAATCTTTATTTTTTTGTGTTTTTAAGTGATATGTGTAGAATAAATAGATTTTGATAAATAAATCAAATATCAGGATTTTAAGCTGAGATTGGGTTAATTATCCGAATAGATGTCACATATTATTATTATTATTTTTTTAAAGATGCCTTTTAAACCCACCAATTTAAACCCACAATACTGACAGTGAAATATAATAATATTCAAAACTAATACACAATGTTTTAAGCAGACTGTGCAATCAGTGACAATAACCTCATGACACCTATTCAGAAAACAACACTTTGTTAATGGATCAATGCATCAGAATTACAGTACAGGTCATCAGAACAAATACAAAATGCTCTTTCAGTAGCAAATACTACAGCTTTTTCTTTTAATGTTGGTACCGTTGCTGTACTTGATGTTATTTTCGCGCTCATCTGACCAGGTGGCTCCTGTGACGCTGTGACTGGAGGGTCAGTTTCCTGCACCAGGACTCCTGCTGGGAGGTGAGGAAATACATTATGAGTCAGAGCTGCTACAGAACATTAAAACCAGGTGAGCACTGACCTAAAACAACACAAATTAAATCTGATTCCTGTTTACTACCCCGAGCCTCGTGCTATTGCAAAAGTTGAAACGTTTTTCCATTTGTCAATCAAATCCAGATTCCATTCAAGCACGGGGCAGGGGGAAACGTCCCCTTAATATCCAGCACGCATGCAATTGTCCTCCCAATGAAAACACAAGAATCAGAGGACTTTTATGTGAAAGAAAACACTGCAACTTTCCTCATAGATTCAAGAATGCAGATACATGCAAAGGAAACACAAATTGGTGCTTAGAAATTAACCAGAATGCAGGAGAGGAGGTGCAAAATTTTGTAGAGAAAGACTCCCAAACACCCAACGCTTAATGCCGCAACAAATCTGCACCCATGCATTTATCAGCAACACTTTAATCAAATGGTTTTTGCAGGCTACATGTGCACATGTTATAATTGGCAGTTCTATAAATCAGTTGGAAGGTGCAGATTTTAGTGCGATCTTTCTGTCGCTGCTTGTTTATTGTTTTTATGAGCAACTTCAGAATACAGACTTTTGATCAGGAAGATATGATTGAACACGTCAGGATGGCATTGAAATGAGAGAAAAGTACATTTATTTTGGTTCGTTTTGAAACTCTGGTGTCAGATTTCTGTGACGTTAACAACCACAAAACAACCAGGTTTCATGTGCATTAATACTACATTCTAGTGCTTTTTGGAGCTTTCATACAGATATTTTATAATTGTGTGGGGATATATATTCTATTCTATGCTTGGTCCTGTATGTCCATTCTCTGCAGCTGAAATGACTCACAGACCAGCCCAGTCTGCATTAGAACAAGGTTCTGCAGTGATGGTCAATTTGATTTCCCCCGCCTCCACATAATGCCGCTTCCTGCTTAAGAACTCACCACACTGGATGGAGAATAAAGCATTTAAGACTGTCGGGGAAGGAATAAGGAGATCATTGTAAACTGGAGGTAACAACACATCAATTATCAGCATGACATTAGAGCATTCAGCGTCGGTGGGCGGGCAGGTTAATGAAGGCAATGGGATTAATACCCAGGCAGGGGGGCAGCCTCGGGGACAGGAGCAGAGATGCTGCATCATTAGAGCCCCTTCTTACCCCCCCGGGGCAGTACACAGGGAGCGAGAGTTTCACTTTGTGCCTCGGTGAGGGGCAAATTGTGTCAGAGAGAGCACTGTGCCACATACATGCTCATGGGAGTAGATTAGAATGATATTTTGAACCACGCATTTCACTTTTCACAGCGTATTTGTGCATTTATTTAGAAAACTGATGCTTTATGAGCTTGTAGTTCAAGTTTTATTTTCCCTCTTCCCCTCAGAAAATAATCGTCTGTATTCCACGCCGAGGCCGGGGCTACAGTTACACTCCATCTTGATTGAACATAAACAGGGATGTTTGAAATCACTGCGTTGGACTGTGACTGGCCTCCACTTCATCTGTGTGTTTATGCTTCCTGTGAGGGGCCCTCTATTTATGGACAACTGAAGAGCACAAATAATCATCCCCCTCAAGTGAAAAATCTGCTTTTATTATCTGCTAAGGTTTTTGCAGTGCCTTTGTGTACGCTCACGCTGCCTTCTGATTGCCTGTTTATTATTACAGCGTTTTCTGCTCAGCCAATGAGGGGGGTGGTGGGGAGGAATCGGGGCCAATTCCTAAAGGTGCCAAGCCCTTTTCCCAGCCTTTTCCTGTCTGTGACATCATTGTGTATAACCCTGAAACACACTGATCCGTGTCTTGTCTGCAGCCTGGGTGGCACACATCACACGCAAACCGAGGTTAAACACAAGGTGCACTCGTTTTGGAGCGTGCACTTTGCATCAAAGGACGTTTTCTGAATCAGATCGCACGCCAGAATCGTCATTCCTCAGCAAACCAGAGCGTCTTAAGCTGTGATAAATCTCTGACCTGCTGTGGTTTCATAATTTCTGATGAAATCTCTAATTTGCTCAAACCCTCGTGCGTCTCCACAAGCAGTCGGCGAGTTTTAAAGCAGCAATTTAACATTTTCTCCAGCATTTTCTTTTGCTTTGTCTGATTTTCAAGAAATAACGTTTGATGCAGATCTTTTACCACAATGATCAGACAGACTTTCCCCTAAAAGCTGTACACAGCCGTAGGGGTTTAACATTAAACTCTTTCAAGCTAAAAGAAAGTTTCAACAGTTTTCTTTTGCCAGTTTTCTGCAAGTTCACATTAATTCTTAAATGCAAAAAAAAAATGTGTGATCCAAACACGTTTTCCTTTTGGAAGACAAGAGATAAATACTCCTTGTGCAAAAGAATAAGCAGCAATCAACAGCTCAACAAATACATTCATGTCAATAATTCAGCCAAATTAAATGGAATCCAAACACACCATCATCCCCTTGCTGCTTTGTTCCCCAACGCTCACATAAATCATGTCAGTCCGCCGCAGGTGTCCGTCTGCATTATTTAACCTTCAAATGCTGCTGAACCTGCACAGGAATGTCTTTTTGGTCTCAGCATACTGTATATTGCTCTGCCAGGTTAGAGACACAGCATCAGTGTCTGTCTTGGATCAAACTGATTTATGGAGCCTTCCAGGAAAAAATACTGAGAGCGAGGCCTCCGTGTATTACCGCAGTGATATTGATCGGTTTGTTATCAGGCGACACTTCTCTGGAAGAAAAAGCAGAATATTAAGCGTGCGATCTGTTTAAGATACGATGGAGGGGGAAAAAAAAACCTATGAAAGGTTGCAATGTGAGCTTCAAATGAGCTCCAAATCAATTTAACTCCACATATATGATCACATAATATGAACAGGCAGTGTGTTCTTATACATAAGGCAGAACTCAGTGTGCAGTGAATTTACTGAAACACACACATAAAGTGAAATAAAACTGTCTACGGTTGCATTAGTTTGATTTAAGGGTAGATTCTCGTGCTGAGCTAAGTGCACTTTTAACTAAAAAAAAAAAAAAAGGATTTAAACAATCTGATGACAAATAAATTAAGATGATCCCACAATATATCATGAATCTATTGAATTAGTTGTGTTTGTATTTCAGCTTTAATATTAAACCTAGTTGTGCAAACTGTTATTTTTCTCTACAACCTGCAGTAAAAATGATGGAAATCGGAGATTTTACATTTTATTTGTTGACATAAAATGAAATCTACTTCCATGCTGGCACACAGGTAGCTGCTGACTGTCTGCAGTGGTGAAGGTCAGTGGATCCAGCAGGAGTTTTCTTTTTTTGTATGTTATATTTCCAAACAAATATTTCCTCATCACAATGGTACTTTATTTATTTCTTTTGCTGCAATTTCTTTCTCATCCCAAGAAGGCCAAGAAGTCAGTCCTGCTCTAACACAGTCAGCCACACACTAATACCAGAGTTTCCATTTTTCACTAAAGATTCACATTTTCCGTCTTTACAACAGCTTTTTATCGGTCACACATAAAATAAAAAAGATTTCACTCTACACAAAGTCGATGGAGCACAAAATCGTTGCTTTCAACTTGATTTAAGTCTCTCTCTCTTTTTTTTCTTTTTGTGAACTGTACATACTTTTCACATGTGCATTACATAAAAAGGCCTCTCAACAAAGAGTTGCATTATAGATGCTAATGCATTCAATAATCAGCAGAGTCCAGATGCAGCTGATATGTGCTGCAGCAGTCTGGTTCTGTTTAGCTTCTCCTCTGTTTCCTTTTGCCTCAAGTGCAGTTCTGGACTCTGATCCAGTCTCTCCTGGGTTCAGTATTCACTATTTGAGACACTGTTGTGAAGTGTGTATGATTTTGTGTGAGTGTGTGTGAAAAAGATCGGCACCAACTAATCAAACATTATCAGAGTTTGAAAAAATAAAAGAAGACATTTTCAGATTCTCTAAATTTAAAATGTAGACTTTCACCTTGAGGTCTGCACCTGCCTCTTTGTGTTGGGGGAACAAATCCACATATTTATGCTACAAATTAAAACACAGAATATCTTTAGCATTTATATATTGTTAAAGTTTTTCTAAAAAGGTTTTACATAAGACATTTACAGTTTTTTTTTAAAATCTTGTTTTGGTGAACTGCATTTACAAAAAACTACAAACACAAGAATTCTGAATAAAAAACTAATTAAACAATAAATTGTATGATTTTTTTGCAATTAAATTTGTTTAAAAAATTGATACATCAGGCGTCAACTAGGAAACAGAAATAGAAAAGAAAAACAGGATTTATTTTTTGTGAGGTGCACCCATGTTTATAGTCATAATAATGACAACAATAATAACAATAGTAATAATAGTAGGAGAAGTAGGAAAAATAATAACAGAGTTTGATGTTTACTACATCAACGTTAACAATGACTCAGCATTATTATTATTATTATTATCATTGTTTTTATTTGTAAATGCTGCTTAATTTTAAAAAAGAAAAGAAAAAAGGGACAATGTGAGATCGACAGCAAACTAAAAAGTGGGTTCCACATTTAAATGAGTGTGCATGCAGTCCTGCAGCAGCCTCAGTCTGGCCTTCATGCATTTCTGTTTTCCAACCGACTGCATGATAAATCCTCGCTCCTCAGGTACTTCCCTCCCTCCAGCCTCCTCCTTCCCTCCCTCCAACCAAACACACTCTTCAAAGTGAACTCTGCCTGCTTTAAGGCCCGAAGCTTTCGAAAAAAACATCCTGAAATTTCATCTCACAGCCAAATAACCAGGAAAAAAAAAGAGAAGCTCTTACACAATCCACAAACACACCGCAGCTCCTTCCTCCCTCCAGCCTACCTTTTTGTTTCCGTCGGTCCCATCCACGTTATTCCCTGCAGAGCCGCTCTCCTCTTTTTTTTTTTTTGGAAACAGATTAAATCCACTTTAATTAGTGGCTGATCTGGACGCGGGGCTGCTCGGACCGCGCTGCTGCTGCTGCTGCTGCTGCTCTCTGCGCAGCGACGCTCTGCTCGTGGAGCCTCTGCTCAGTCTGAACATCTGCTCATTTCACGTGACGTTTTTTTTTTTTCCTTTTTTTTCTTCTTAAAAATACTAACATCTGTTCTAAATAGGTTTCATTCTGTGCCTCTGCATCGTGTCAATTGCCAACTTCTCTCTTCTGGAAAAAAGGGGAGAGGAAACTTATTTAAGGCATTGCATAAGGGCTGAATTTGGATTTTTTTTTTTTTTTAAAGAAATAAAACAACAAAAAAACAACAACACCCCTGAAGTTGATATTTATTACAGCACATCCTGCTTATTTATTTAGTATTGAGTGAAACTTTTTAAACTTTTTTAGGGATGAGACTGTTTGTTGGTGCTTGTGAGCCATTTGAACCCCCACCTTCTGTTAAGCTGTGCCTGAGAATAGCCTCCATGTACAGCCTGTATACCTTCTCGGCCTCCTTGAATTTCATAGACATCTGGGAATTCCATACATGCCTCGCAAGCCAATTACACACCTTCAAACGAGCTCGCACTTTGATTTTTTTTTTTTTTTTTTTGGACAGCGAGGAACACTTTTTCCCAGATCAATGAGATCAATCACAGCAGAATGAGAGATTTATTTAGGGACAATTTGTTGGGCTGCAAAAAAATCCCACTGTTGCTAATAATCCTAATTATAATTCGATTATATTTAATTTTTCATAACATCTATTGTTATGCTGCTGCAAAGAAGAAGAAGAAAACCCAGATAGTTGGATTTCTGCAGACATGACCCCACTTCAACTTATTTACTCTCAATGTTAAGTTTCAAGCACAGGCCTTCATCCAACTCCAAACAAACCCAGCAGAAAAAGAAAGTGAGGGAGACACTTGCTTGAGTTTTTTTTTTCTCATTAAAATTGCAATTTTATTTTATAGAGTGAGATTATTATTAGTTTTTTGCAGCAACAAAACTTTTCTCACATTTAAACTATGTGGCAACACTTCTAGAAAAAATAGCTATAAATACCCTTAAAACATTTTTTTTTCTTCTTTCTTTTTTTTGGGATGTGCAACAATATATATATATATATATATTTTAAATGCTGCATGTTTTTCTTTTTATTCGAGCCAGAAATAACTCCCATGTGTTCTCCCTGGTGGCTGCAAGCTTTTGACATTAACTCTGATGTATGCAAGTGCAAGCACAGTCCACGTGATGCAAGCAGGAATTTATTTCAAATATATATATATATGTATTCCCCTACCAGCATTTTGGTTTAAATTTAGTCCACATTCGCTTTGAATAGAATAGAGTAGAATAGAAAAATACTTTATTAATCCCAGTCTGGGAAATTACTAAATTACTTGGATAAAAAGAAGAAAAAAAAAGAAACTTAAAGTCCTTTCATCGTCTTTTTGTTTAATGCAAAAAGAAGAAAAATTACAAACATTTACAAAACGATAATAAAAAATAGGAATGTATTTCAGACACAGGATCTATTCCTCAATGTTCCACCAAATAAATAAATAAATGTCATTCTTTTGCACAGGTTAGAGCCACAAAGTCAGTCTATAATGTGAGCTACACCACCAGTTGACAGTCTCACACCAGAAACCAAAAAAAATACTGAGACTCCAAATAATGCACTTTGACCTCCACAGAAATAAGTCCAAAGGCATGCATTTCCTTATTTAAAAAAACAACAACATGAAAACAAATGATAAATTCAACATTCGTCGTCAACAACATGAAAACTCATCAGAATGGAGTGTATTTATGGAGCTAAACACACGGGCCTCTAAAAAAAAAAAAAAAAAGAAAAAGCGAGAGATCCCCAGAGCTTCTTTGGTTTCCCATGTATCCAGCATTGGACTCCAGATTTGTCCCTTCAGAAAAAAAAAAAGAAAAAGCTTCAGCAGTCACCTGGAGAGGTCAGATCATTTGTACGCAAAACAAGGCTGTGCTCAGATCTTTGCTTTTTTGGACTCTTTGGTTGCTTTACAGCCATGAAAATAGATGCGTAATTTCCCCCTCTCTGTTTAAAGCCTTGCAGTTTGAGGGGAAAAAAAACAACCATTTTGGGGTTGAATAATTTCTCCAGATGCTAGTGAGATGTTGACATGGACCAAGCGCCCTCCATCCTCCACACAGAGAAGGCGTAGCTCAGCCTCTCGTGCGCCACATAACTACAACTTGACATTTTGGAGTCCAGCTCGTCGCTCTGCAGCACCTGGCAGAGGAAGTCGATGTATCTGGCCGCGAGTTTTAGGGTCTGTATTTTGCTGAGCTTGTCCGAGGGCAAAGTGGGGATAATTTTACGCAAAGCCGCGAACGCCTCGTTCAGACTCTGGGTCCTCTGGCGCTCCCGGACGTTGGCCATGACGCGCTGCGACTGGAGCTCCTCGAAAGACTGCGGGCTGCTGCTGCTGGACTTCTTCCCTCTTTTCCCAGGGGTCGGGCTATCTGAGTCCTCCCCGTTCTTCCTGCTCGGTCTCCTCTTCCTCCCACATCTCTTCGGCTGTCTGTCCAGCTCCCCCTCGCTGTTGCTCAGGCTGTCCGCAGGAGAGACTGGGGAGCTGCCCGATTCTTCCCCCAAGTTTTCCTCAGACATCTCCACCTGGGTCGACGGCGGCCAGAATCAGTCCTCCCCCGGCACAAAAAAATAAATAAAAACAGTGATTCCCCTCTCATGAAGTTAGTCCACCTGTGGATCTGTCGGGCTTTGGAGACACCAGAGAATCCATAGATGGGATCCTGGGAGGACAAGACTTTTTCTGTTACTTGAGAAACTTTAGCAGTTCTTATAGGCTGCATGGCGTAAACTTTTTGGGGAGCGACGGGATTGGCCGAGAAGACGAATTACGTCATGCAAAAGGGGGCGGGACTTGAGGGGAGCTATCAGAGAAGCTGCTCCACTCTAAAAAGTAAATCACAGGACCTGTTGGCAGAACTTAATTAAATGCACTTTTGCATGATAAAACTATAATTCATCAACTTAGACAAACATTTTAAGTTGCAGACATAGTTTGGATAAATTCTCTTGACAGAAGTCAATAGTGTGTGTGTGTGATTTAAAGGGACATTTCTGTTATTCCACAGAAGTCAAGTTGTCCTAAATTAATAAATTGGCTTGAAAACTTTTTTTTTTTTAATCCATCTTGAGTTAAACATTTCAAGTCCTTACAAACGTTGAAACTTGTGTTCACGCTACAGATTAATAATGTAAAATACTATTGCTAGTAGAAGAAAACTAACTATTTTAATTAGATTGCTCACAAAGACTGAAGCAAACTTGTTTTTACAAAGTTTAAAAATCTCACTAAACACGATTATGCTATTAATACAAAAATAAACTACATGTTATTCAACATTATGACTTTATTTTGGTTTGCATTAGACTAAAGATATCCCAATATTCATTTAAGAGTTAAAATAAATGAGGAAAAGTAAATTGTCTCATTGTGCTCAAGCCACAAAAAAGGGCTAAGGAAGGGAATCATGTTTAAATAACAGAAAATATAATTAAAATCAACACATCATAACTAGCCGATTAAGTTTTTCCTGCACATCTGACCACATTGCTTTTCCTGTCACACATGATTATTGTTGAATCATCCGTTGATTATTTTCTCAATTAACAGATTAGTTGTTTTAGCAGAACATTGTGATTTTCTCTCAAAATAAAGTTTATGTCTTCAAATGTTTGTTTTTGTCCACAACCCAAAGATATCCTTGTTTTTCTGTCATAGAAGTTAAAATAAACCCCAAAATATTCAAGTTTAAGAAGCCAGACTCAGATATTTTAGACTTATTCTTGTGAAAAAAGCCGATTAAAACCTAATTAAATAGTTGTCAAAGAATGTATAAGTTGACAACTAATCGATTAATCATTGCAGCTCTTCCCTTGATCCAGCCTTCATCCAAACAAAACATATCACTTAAAAACCAACTGTTGTGCCAACTTAGCACCTCTCTGCAGACTAACCCACGTGCGTTTAGTATTTATGTTTCTTATCTAACCTATTTTTTTTTAATCAATTAGTTGTTTGGGCTGTGAAATATTAGTGAAATTAAGAAAAATATCAATCAGTGATCCTCAAAGCCCAAGACAGCATCCTCGAATGTGTTGTTTTGTCAATAACCCAAAGATATTCAGCTTTGGTAGAGCATTAATGAAACCAGAACATTTACGAAGCTGGAACCAAAGAAGAGGCCGAAAGAGTCAAACCAAATAAGCATTAATCAGAACAGTTGTCGATGAACCCACATAAAGCAGATCCTCTCACATCGCTGCTGCTCTAATCTCCAATAATTGTAGGGTTTACACCTCTTTTTTAAAGTCAGCTGTTCTACCACCTTGGCACGTGACTGCAGATTTAACCCACATGGATTCTGGATTTATGTTTCCATCTTTACCCAAAGTGAGATCAAAAGACTTTCATATATGCAGCTTATGATCCCACTCTTACATTTTTGACATGAAGCCAGAGCTGCCTAACTTTTATGTGAAGGACTGCCGCGTGTTTTAATTATATCCCCCACAAGAGGGCATGTGTTTTTTTGGTATGCTATAATATACCACAAAATGTATGTAAAACCGGTTTAAAATAAATCCCTTTGTTCATCCATGAAACAATAAAGGACGGGATTTACACCCTGTTGTTTCCAGTCGCACATGAGAAGAGTGCCGCTCTGTGTGTCGCGCTCTCTGGTATTTACTGGGCTGCTGATACAATATCCATCTTGTTTAGTGGAGGATTACTTTGTTTAGGTTGAGAAGACTGTGGTCCACAGGAGCAGCATCTGGTTCAGGAAGCAGGGGGCGGTGGGGGGCAGTCGGGGTCGGAGGTCACAACACCGGCGAACATCCATTTACATCTTCGCGGAGGCCTGAGAGTGAAGCATTGTTCTAAGGGAAACACAGGCTTGTTTAAGTGTGATGTGCTGGTTCTCCTTGAGTTGAGCGTTTTTACATTTTAATTAAAGAAATGATCAGTATATTGTACAGACCTGAAAAAACACATGATTATTCATTTATATCACTCTGCTACAGAGTAAATGTGAAATTTCACATAGAGCAGCTCAAGCCTCTCCAAGGTGAGCGTACCTGTCGGGTGGAGGACCTCTCCATGGTGCTGATCTCGGCACACTCTGCTCTGCTGTCACAGGTAACAGGTAAAGCCCCAAACACCTTGTCTGAATCTTTTTTTTTTTTTTTTACCCCGAATTCGTGCCTTTATCTAAGAAATCTCAATAGATTTTTTATTTCCTGTTTACTCCCAACAGTTTAGAATAGAATAGAATGCCTTTATTGTCACTATACACATGTACAATGAGATTAAGAGCAGCTCTTTCAGTGCAACATAGAATAAAGAACAAAATAAAGAGCAAAAAATACAAAAATAGAAGAGATTTAAATATAAAATAAGATAAGTTATATATACAGTATAAGTTATATGTACAGTATGAATTTAGAAAAATATTGCACAGCATGGTCAGTGGTGATATTGCACATTTAAATAGAGTTTATAGTAGGTGGTTGTGAGGTAGATTGGGGGGGTGGGGGTGGGGGGGTGGACTGTGATGTCAGTGTGTGAGTTCAGAGTGGTGATGGCTTTTGGGAAGAAGCTGTTTGATGAGATGCTTCTTTAAAAATAAAATGCAATTAATGCAACAAATGAGCAGAGTTTTAAGCTTGCACAAGTGTTTTGTGGGTAGCCTCAATAGTGATAATATTGACTAAGGTGCTGTAAAAATGTAGAAAATCAAGTTTTAGCCATGATAATATGTTGTTGTTTTTTTTTATCATGCCAGAAGACATATCATGGGTGAAATAAACAGTCAACACCATGGCGGAGCATTTCCACCAACTGCAGCGTATTATTGATGGTCTGAAAAACAAAGATTCAGATTTCAGGAATTTCACGTGTAAAAACCTGAGGAATCAATCCTGGTAACTTGCAGGGTGAAGCTTTCTGTATCGTTACTTCTCTTCAGAATTGGTTTCCGGATCGAAGATGTATGTCTGAATTAGTCCAATGTTGTGTAGTGTAGAGCAGTTTCAAGGCAAATTTACACTTTCTTCACCCACGTGTCCAAAAAGGTCCATAGAGCGACGCATTAAGCAAATTTTGTCATCTACTCAAGGCCATGAGAGTGTACAAGCAAGTGTGCCGACGATGCATGCCAGGTAAACAAACGTAGTCAAACAAATGCTTGTGACTATATGTGGAGATTCTCTGTCATCCACACCTTTATCATTCACCCCTAGAAGAGCTGTAATAGAAGTAGTGGCTGCAGGACTTTGAAGGTGCTTCAGTTTGTACATGCTTTCCACTGACGGAGCCTAATTACAGTAGTAAGCTCTGAATTCTAAAGAGATCCTGACACAGTGCTAAAGTCCAATCTGCTGCTCAGAAATATCCACAGAAGCTCTTCGGGTTTGTCTCTAACGGGCCACAAGACTGTTTTCGTAGAATACTGATGCTGACCTTTCATGATTTAAAGAGAATCTTGTGTGTGCCTGCTTTCAAAGTCTGCATCGGTCTACATTCAGGGATGTGGAAACCGTGAACTGAACTTCACAGCATTTAACCAGAGTCACAGGTGAGCTGGTGTGCTCAGCTGCAGTGAGTAGGGAGGGTCTAGCGGTGATAGAGGTAAGACTTCGTCGATCAGCAAATTCTTGAAGGAGTGTAGCGTTGTATCTGAGCCACTTTAATGTATTAAGGAATTATTAAGGAAGTATCAAACTTTGATAAACAAATGATGCAACTTTTGGGGTTTAATTAACGATCAGAGAGGGACTTTAATTCTAGATCATATTTTTCTGGGGTTTTTCAGTTGGGTACAACTTGAGTCTTCTACTCCACCACTATAATTTCAAAATTATGTTGCACTGCCGGTTGAGTTGAGTTGGCGTACTATTGTTCAGGGGCTGAAATCCCCGACGGAGCGGTCGTGAGTTCGAGTCCCGCTCATGACTCTTTGCTGCAAGTCTTTGCCCCATTCTTCTCCCCGACTTTCCTGTCTCTCTCTTCACTGTACTATCAAATAAAGGCAAAAAAGGCCAAAAATAAAAAATAGAAATAATCGTGTTACACTGTTGTAGATGAAACAGCATCAAGGTGAAGTGGTTGTACTTTTATTTAAATAATAACTAAATAATTCCACTACTGTGCCAGGCGACAGGCAGGTGACAGGCAACAAAATGACCTTTTTGGCTTCTTTTTTCTGGTCTTGGTATTATTTTCTTGATTATTTATGATTCCACTTTATTAAACATATCAGCTGAGCTTTTGATTCTACACTACGGTGTTATAGATTTGCTTAAAAGCCGTCGTCACTGCAGTCCAGCTTGTGCCTTGCATCTTGTAATTATACCGGGTATAACGGTATCATTCCACATTTTAAAAACCAATAAAGCATAAAGAAGCATGAGCCTCCAGTCTACATTGACATTATTTGCAGGTTTCTCTGCAGAGTTCAGCTCTTTGCTGCTGAAGTAACTCTGAGAAAACACAGCTGCTTCTCAGGAATATGATGTCATCACAAGACAACTCCTCCAGTGTTGATCTTTAATAAAGACCAAAAAAAAACCTTCATCAGTCAGTTAGAGGCTGTCGGGCCATGACAATTACGAGTACATGAAGAGGAGATAAGCGGCACTGACTGTTTATTTCGATGTGATTGCTTCTACGCTGCCCGGAGCAGCAGCAGCAGCAGCAGCAAATAACACATGAAGTCTTTGTCC